AGAATTTAGGGTGTAGGGTGTTTAGGGTTTAGGGGTTTAGGGTTTAGGGTTTAGGGTTTAGGGTTTAAGGGGTGTTTAGGGTTTAGAGATCTGCTTTGTTGAGGTTTGTTCGTAGAGTTGGCAGATGTGGAGTTGTTGTATTAAACCCAAAACCCTAAACCCTGAACCCTAAACCCTAAACCGGAAGGGGTTCCTGAGGCTTTGCATCCTCGCAATGATAGTCAGGATCCCCTGGGTGTTTGAAGATCTGTTGCGACGTATGTTGTTTAAACAGGATCAGGGTTTAGGGTTTAGGGGATATTCCCGAAGGGATGGATTACATGGTCCTGCTGGTTGTTATGAGGTGTACCACGGTTGTTCAGCTGTGTTTGGCTTGTTGCTATTTTTTTGGCGTTTAGGCGTTTAAGGTTGTTGAGGGCTTTAGGGTTGAGGCCTTGGCATCTCGGTGTTTAGGCCTGAAGGCTTATTTGTGCTTGGATTGGCTTCAGGTCTTTAGGAAATTCGGAGTACATGGAATTTCGAGAGCGTTTACGATTTGAGTCTGACGACACTAGACAGCACCCCATACTGTACACGCGATATCGGAGCCCTATAGAAGAAAGTACCTGCACCGATCACATGTATGAACGGCTCTGTTTGCCTGTATGTATGCATGTATGTCTGTATGTGTACAGGCTGTACAGGTGTGTGTGTGTACCCATGTTACGGGCAGTTGGAGATCGGGTGTGTGCATATGTGTGGGTGCATGTATGTATATATCTAAGTTATATCTATGCACACCAAGACAAATCACACATATAATTAGGCAAAAGCAAACGAATGACTAACTGAAGACATGCCTGCACGGATGGATGGACTCATCAATTAAAGATTTTTTTTACAAATCAGTAAATGCGCAAGTATATGGTACAGAGTTACATCCATATATATATATATATACATACCTGTAACCCCAAACCCTACAAAAATAGTAGGTTATGACCCCTTAACTAGAGGGTAGAATCGGGTAACTAGAACCCTCAAAACGGGAGCTTTTTGGATCTCCAGGAATATATATATATATATATATATTAAACCCTAAACCCTAAACCCTAAACCCTAACCCTAACCAAAACACGAACAAGTTCCGCTCCGGTGCAGTCCGACCTGCTGATTCGGATCAGTAGCTCGGTGGTGGGCCCCAGCTTCTGTCTTCGAGCATGCACCGTGTTTAACTTCGGGTTTGGGCTTAGGGCATGGTTTAGGGTTTAGGGATTTTGGATTTGGGGTGTAGGGTTTACAAAGGGTTCAGGGTTTAGGTCTCTAGGGGGTTTGGGGTTTGGGGTCAGGGTTTAGAAGGGTTTACGGCTCCAGGGGTTTAGGGTTAGGGGCTTTGGGTTAGTTATGGGTTTTGGGTTTTTGGTTTAGGGTTGTTTTGGGTTGAGGGTATAATGGTTAAGTTTTTCTTTTGTTTAGGGTGTAGCGTTGTTCGGAGTTGTTGAGAGTTTAGGCTAGGGTTGTTTAGGGTTTCGCGTTTTTTGTTGTGCTCCCTGCTAGTGGCCAGGATTCATGGTGCGATTTTGCCTGCCGTCTTCGGTTTGGTAGGATTTTGTTGTTGCCTTCACTACGTATCACTTCGCTTTCATCCTCCGGATGCTGCCGTTTACGATGTTAGCGAGTCTTAATGCCCGCTGCTCGAGTTGCGTAAGCTGCGCCCCGCGTCGCACTGTGACTATCGTCTATACTGCAATCGTGGTGGTAGTCGGCGTGGGTTTAGGGTATAGGGCATCGGCGTAGCAGAAGAACCAGCTGTAGCCAGCAGCCGCAGCAGACGCCTTCACAGTAACAGTAACAATTGTGACCTTAATGGTTGCTTTGGCTGATTTGAAACTGCTGCTATCACCGCAGCGATCCCCATCATCAACACCTTCTTCAATCACGGTGATTACATTATGGCCTTTGTTATGTGAACTGTCCTTGTTATCGTGATGAATGCGACCGCCACCGCTGCTCCTACTGATGTATTGGAAGTGCGACAGCTACTAGCGATGCGGCTCTTGCTAAGCTTAACAAAGCTCTACAGCCCCTCCAGGCCAACAGTGTGACAATGTGGTGCTCCTGTACAGAACCCTAAACCCTAAACCCTAAACCCTCAACCCTCAACCCTCAACGCTAAACCCTAAACCCTAAACCCTAAACCTGTTGAAGGAGAGGGGGCAGAGGGTGAAGAGGAGGAAGTTGAATATGAAGAAGAAGAAGACAGCTGATTAGATGTTCTGCCCACGGGAGCTAGAGTGACAGGGATGAAGTCAAGACTGGAAGATGGTGTGGTTGAGTCCACTATCCAGTATGTCTATGAAGACCTGTCTGGCCAAGTTGTTGAGGCCGTGACCCAGGTGAGCTATTTCACCGATCGCAAGTGGCTGTCGAAAGACAGCAGCGATGGCGAAACTGTTTGGGGTCAGGACCAGGAAAGCGTTCCGACGAGAGATCCAGTAACATTCGAAGAAACGGAAGAATGTGCTGGGTCAAGGAGTCTGCTGGAGCGACTGGGTCGCAGACAGGCACTATCGCTTGGCACATACTTGTACACCAAGTCGGTAAAATGGCCTATGACTGCTGGATTCCGCCTGGAAGTCCAAATCCAGCACCAGGTGGTGGTTGTGTCCCAGAGAGATGAGCTCAAGGCTCTGTAAGCCCTAAACCGAATTACTTCAAGGGCTTCCAACTTACGCAGCCCCTTCTCTCCGAGAAGCTTAAGCTCAGGAAGCCCCAAGGCAAGGCAACCATGGGTGGGTTGAGGGTGTTGGGGTTTGGGGCTTGGGGTTTAGGGTTTAGGTGTTGGGTTTTAGGGTTTGGAGTTTGTGGTTCAGGGGTTTGGGATTGAGGGCTTTGGGGTTTGGGGCTTGGGGTTTAGGGTTTAGGGGTTGGGTTTTAGGGTTTGGCGTTTGTGGTTCAGGGGTTTGGGATTGAGGGCTTTGGGGTTTGGGGCTTGGGGTTTAGGGTTTAGGGATTGGGTTTTAGGGTTTAGGGTTTGGAGTTTGTGTTCAGGGGTTTGGAGTTGAGGGCTTTGGGGTTTTGGGGTTTAGGTTGTCTAGTGTTTGGGCATGGACGGAAATCCAGACGTAACTCGTATGCTAAACCCTAAACCCTAAAACCTAAACCCGAAGCCCCTATAGCCGTAAACCTTAAACCCGAAATTCCTGAACAACCAGAGTTTAGGGTTTCGGGTTTAGGGTTGAACCCCATAAGCCTAAACCCAAAGTAGCCCGACTACTAAAGCCACGAAGACTGAGGCCAAGGCTGAGGAGAAGGATGGTCGTTGCCTCAGTTTAGGGTTTAGGGTTTAGGGTTTAGGGTTGTAAAAACGTGCACTGAAGAGGTTTCGGCTTCGGGTTTAAGCCCAATCTAAACCCCTACTAAACCCCGAAACCCTAGACCTTTATAGTAGAATCCAGAAAGTTGGAACGTTATTCTCCTCATGCCCTCAAGGTAAAGTATAAGTGAACTTACGAATCCTCCTAAACCCATGTTCCAACTTTCTGGGGTTCGCTGTAAGCTTTGGGTTTCAGCCCTAAGCCCTAAACATTTAGGGTTTAGGGTTTTGCGTTTTGGGTCTTGGGTTTTGGGTTTAGAGTTTAGGCTTAAACCCTAAACCCTAAACCCTAAAACCCTAAACCCGAAACCCTAAACCCTAAACCCTGATAAATCCTAAACCCGAAACCCTGATAAACCCTAAACCCTAAAACCTAAACCGTCCCTTTGCCCTGGGAGAGCTGCGACGTTGCAATGCGAGGTCTCCGCTCCAACGAGCAAAAGCGGGCCCACTTCGCCAGAACCTGAGCGTTCGTGCTAAAGGCTCCTTTAAAGGTAGGGTTCAGGGTTTAGGGTTTAGGGTTTGGGGTTTGGGGTTTAGGGTTTAGGGTAGGGTTTAGAGTTTAAGGTCCCTTCTGGGCTCGTTTTTGAAGGTTTCTGTGATAGGCTTTTCCGTTAATAAGGGCTCCTCTTCAGTGGTTCGTTTCAAGGGTTCTTCCTTGAAGGGTCCCTCTAAGAGTTCCTCTCAAAGGGCCCTTTTAAGGGCTCGTCCCTGTAAGGGGTTTGCTTTGAGGGCTCCTTTTCAGGGTCTCCCCTACTAAAGGGCTCCTTTTTAAGGGCCACTTTAGGGTTTAGGGTTTTAGGGGTTTAGGGTTTAGGGTTTCTTTTAAGGGTTTCCTTTTCAGGGCTCCTTTTTGACGGCTCCAGTTCCAGAGTTCCTTTAGGTGTAGGGGCTTTCCGTTAAGGTCTCCTTCCAAGTGGTTCCTCAAAGGCTTTCGGGCTAAGGCTGTAGGGTGTCGGATTCAGGGTGTAGGGTTGAAGGTTCATTAGGATTTATGCGGTGTCTTTGGTGGGTTTAAGGTTTAGGGGTCAGTGGTCCAGGGTAGATACGTTTCAGATTGCTATCAACATGCTCTGTGCAACTACTAGACATGTTTACTGCGAGATGATTGCCAGCACGGTTGATGAAGTGTTGTGTTTATGCCATGGCCATCGATTTTTGCTATTATTTTAGAGGCACGCTCCGCATTATCAAATCTACCCCCCCCCTCCCCCGACACCACCGCCCACCCACCCACACACCACCCTGCTTCCAACATGGTTTGTAGCAGGAAGAGGCTACTGCGATTTCCGCATTACTCTCCACTACTAGACCAGTTAGCCCTTCTGTAGAGCCCTAATGCGATATTCGTGGGAGCAGAGGTGGTCATGCGGCGCATGGCGCGGCTAAGTCAGGTCATTGCAGCAGACTCGGTCAGGATTGAGACATGGTTTAGTGGTTTGAGGCGCAGGTTGAAGCTGATCCGTAGTAGATGTGTTTTTGAGTCTTGCGGCTTTTTGTGCTTTTTGCCATTGCCTGAACGGCTTGGGCCGTTTCACTCTATTTTTTTTGGGGGGGGGTCTCGGCGGTGCGGAGCCTGAGCTTTGGGGTGTTCAGGTTGTTGTGGCTTCAGGCTAGGGCGTAAGCAGGGCATTTGGGATTAGGGTTTCGGCGTTCCGGGTTGTGGTGCACGGTTTTGGGGCTAGTTATGTGCTTGTTGGGCTTGAAGCGGCGGTTGGGATTTTGGGGTTTAGGGCTACAGGTGTTGCGCTGTTCTTTTCGGCATCTGAGGTCTGAGGGATTAGTGTGAAACACCTAAGCCAACTACGCCTTAATGCAATATAGTGTTGGATTCGCTGTGTCCGCAGTGTTTTACAGGGTCTACACCAAAAGCCAAGCCCGGTAATTAGGGTTTCAGCGTTCCCTCATGCTTCAAAGCCTTTGAAGGAATGACGAAGTATCTTAGTCATCTTTCAGGCTTCTATAGTTAACCCTATCTCAGCGTTCAGTCGTCAATGCCAAGGTCATGACCTTCGCCTCCTCCGGGAATGCAGTGTTGCACGAGCCCATGTCTGCGTGTTGCACAGGGGAGGAGGGCTTTCTTTCATTCGTTTAGTCAAAGGTTAGGGTGGGTGTACCTATCTAACAATCTATCCATCTATCTATCTGCCTATACATATATATATATATATATATAGATATAAGTATGTGTATGCACATATGCTAGGCTGTCCGTATTCTGGTGACTTCAAGCAAGTTCTGCATGTTGAAGAAGCCAGCTGAAGCTGCGCCTGTGGCCCTAAACCCTAAACCCTAAACCCTGAACCCTAAACCCCAAAGCCTAAACCCTACAGCAGGGTTATGCTACGATTCGGCTGCAAGCAATGGTGGCTGTAGCCTGAGCCACTTTAATCTAGGGGCCTAAATAATTACCTACAGTATTTTTTGGGGGTTCCTGATAATAATAATAGTAATAATAATAGTAGTATAATGGGCCCCAAAACCCTATTCTAATTATTCAGGCCCCTATCTTAACCATAACCCCTGCTCCTCAGAAAACCACGCGGCGACTGTGCCTTGGGCTCGTCAGCTGATCAGTGCAGCTTCTGATTATAGCAGAAGCCCAAAAGTTAGAAACCCACGAGCCTCCAGCCTTACTTGGAGGATCATGGGACTTAGTAAGTAAGGTTATAAGTCCCCTAATTGGGGTTATAAGTATAGTTACCATAAACTGTAACCCTACTTACTAAGTCCCATGATCCTTTAAGTAAGAGTCATGTATGTTGAATCCCCGCACTATTTGTCCGTAATCCGTTTTCCAACTTTTTGGGGTTTACTTTATGAAGATCAGGCATGAGCTGTCGAAGCAGCAACCGTTTGGGTTTAGGGAGTTTAGGGTTTCTCTCAACCCAATATAAGTTCATTATCCTGAATGCCAGAAAAACCTAAACCCCGATCTCAGTCACATCATTACTTCTTGCCGTGGCATCGACACTCCCATGGGCGTCGCCGGCTGAACTGCATGGGAGGAGGACATGCCGTGCTAACCCTGCAAAATTGAAACCTGGAACCAGGCAGCAAACATATTCCTGAACGAACAATATTCCTGTCAGTCACCGCAAGAATCCCTAGGTTTTGTTTACGGAATCTTCCTTAATCGGGACGTGCTGAGGCTCTACTCAATGCGAAATGCCTTCAAGGTTTCAAGACTGAGAAATGCAAGAGTTGCATTACCGAAAATAGCATTAGGAATCGAGGTCCCAAGTGCTCTACTTGGAGGATCATGGGACTTAGTAAGTAAGGTTATAACTCCCCTAATTGGGGTGATTAGTATACTTACCTTAATTCTAACCCTACTTACTAAGTCCCATGATCCTTTAAGTATTCTGAACGGGTTTGGGTACCCACAGCCCAGCTGTTTGGCTCCTTGGACTCTAAGGGGTGCTCAAGTTGACGAACCAGTTTTCAGCCAGCTGATCCCTATTGTATACATAGGTTCGAGGGATGTGCTACAGTGATATAGAGTGAAGCCCAGAAATTTGGAACATGGGTTTAGGATGATGTATTAGTGCTGGGATTCCCTAGACTTTACCTTCAGGGCATTAGAATAATCATGTTCCAACTCTCTAGCTTCTGCTGTAGGGGTTTAGATATTTGGAACTAGTATCGCCCGGCAGTCCGGAATGACTAGAATCCTTTAGGGTTTAGGGTTTTAGAGTTTAGGTTTTTTCTAGAATCCTTCATGTGCCCCAAAAGGCTACTCCAAATAGTTCGCTCAGGCCCCGAGTAAAGCTCATAACCGCGATGGTTCGACAGGTGAAAGCGACCGGAACCGCCTCACAGGGCTGCAGAATCACCCTGGTAAACCCTTAGCCCTAAGCCCTGAACTGTATTGCCTTCCCATACTCTCCACCTGCAAAGTCCATTACCGACCTGATAAGCCCCGTACAAACCTCAACCCCTCCTAATCTAAATATCCTGAAGCCCTAAACGCCAAGCCGGCATGAAACCCTCAGAACGCCCCTGGATCTATGTTTCTCTGGCCTAGGTTGGGGTATAGGGTTTAGGGATCTATACTGTCTATCTTTTTATCTATCTATCTATCTATCTATCTGTCTGTCTATCTATCTATCTATCTATCTATCTATCTATCTATACGCATATCTACCAATTTGTTTATTCGTTATTGATTGATGTGCATACATATATATATATATACGCATACACATATTATTTTTTTATGTGTATGTACTTATAATTATCTATTTTCGATTATTTATCTATTTATCTAATTATGTAGTTATAACATACCCACTCTCTCTCTCTCTCTCTCTCTCTCTCTTTCTCTCTCTCTCTCTCTCTTGCTGTGCCTTTGCAGGCAAGGGAGGCAAAGGCTCCAAGGGCGGTGGCAAGCGCCCAGGTCTCGCAGTGGTACGCTTTCGCGTTTTTTCTGTGTTGAGTAGGACCCCAAAGCCTTAAAAAGGGTCGCGTTGTGGGTTCTTTTGTGTTACTGTTTTGGAGACCGAAGGAGCGGCCCCGATTCTGCAGACTCTAAGCCCCAAGCCCCCCAAGGCGTAATCCCTGAGCCCTACAAACCCTAAGCCCGAAGTCGAAAGCCCTCAGCCTTTGTTACGTAAACACGGGACCTTTGGGAACCAAGGAGCAAGGGAAACTTCGTGGACGAGCAGAAAGTTAGCTGCTCGTCTTCCCGGATCTTTGGATCCTCACGGCTTCGCGCGTTGTGGTGTTTTCGGATGTGTTAGGTTCGTTGGGGCTTTTGATTGTGTTTCAATTTTAAGGGGTTACATAGGGCTTTCGAGCCATTTCTTCCGGCTTCGAGGTTTGAGACCCTAAGCCCTAAATCCTAGCTTGGGTTTAGAGCTACGGACTTCTAGTATAGGGGCCTAAATAGTTACCTGTACTATTTTGGGGGCTCCTTATTATAATTATGGTATAATTGACGCCAAAACCTTATTCTATTTTAGGGCTCCTAAACCCTAAGCCCTTATAGTAGCCTGTATAGAACCCTTAAGGAACCTTTAGCGGAACCCGCAAACCCTATTCCAGTTAATTAAGGCCCCTATCTTACGTGCATTCTTCTTTTCAACAGGAGCACCCTAGACCCTGAACCCTAAACCCTAGGCCCTAAACCCTAAACCCTAAACCCTAAACCAAGCACTGCAGCCGCCAATCCTGAACCTGATGCCCGAATAGGTTTTAGGGTTCATAGCAGAGCAGGGTTTAGGATTTAGGGTTTAGGGTTTAGGGCTTAGGATTTGGGAGTTTAGGTTTGTGGGGTTCATAGGGGGGTAGGGTCTGGGATTCAGGGTTCAGGGTTTCGGGTTTAGGGTTTAGGCTAAGGGATAGCGTTTAGGGTTTAGGGGCTGAGGGTTCCAAGGTTTTCTAAAGGGCGCAAGGGGTCTGATCCTGGTTTTTGTCGGGTCTGGCATTTAGAGTATATATGTCCATTACGCTGGTTGTCCCTGCAGGTTCGGGTTTTAAGGGTTAGGTTTAGGGAAACCCCGAACCCCAGACCTCTTCTGATCATGAACGATGAAACCTGCGGAAGATGAGCAAGACAAGCACGCACAAAAGCACAATGTCTAAACCAGTCTCAGCAAATGCCAGACAATACGCGGTCAAACGCCAACAATCAAAACACCTAAAACCCTACCTGGACCCTGAAGAACCTACCTTTTTAGGGCTCCTTATTATGATTTCTTTATATAAGTCTTCAAAACGGTAGGTTCTTTGGGGTTAAGGTACACCCTAAACCCCACAACTCCTCAACCGTTGCTCAGGCAGCAGCCCTGTCAACGAGACTGCCCCGACAGAAGAGGACCGTCACGATGGCCAGCACCCCAAGACCCTGGGCCTTGAGCCCAGTAGCACGTTTAAAACCATATACTAGCGGTTTAAGGTTTAGGGCTTTGGGTTTAGGGTTTAGGGTTCAGGGTTCAGGGTCTGGGTGTAAGGGTTATGCCTGTTATAGCACAAGGTTCTTGAAAAGTGTCTGTGTTTTGTGTTTTTTTGTACTATCTCCACTGCTCATAGGAGCATAAGTACTGCCGACCACTTCCTCCTACCGGTGCTGATGCTGTTGCCACTTTCATTGCCTGCGCGACGCCTACCGTTCACTGCCACCAAGACGACGACTACTCCTGCTACTACTGTTACTACTTGTTACAATATACAGTATGAGCGACAATGCTGGTATTGGCAATCGTTATCATGGCCATCAGAACCACGAGCGTTGTACACTGGCTTTCAATTTTGGACGTTGTTGAAGTTGTTGCCCCGGATCACCAAAGCTTGAACCCCCAACCTCATGAACCTTGGGCCCTGAACCCTAAACGCCTCTCTTTGTGAGAGCATGCGTTGGCATGCAGGCTCTTCGGTTGCAAAATGCGCAAAGGCAACCGAGCTTTCGGTGAATACTCAACCTCAAGCCCCAAACCCGTAGCAAACAAACCCGAACCATACTATAGGATCCCTATACTTCCTTTAAAGGAACCATTACACTACGTTTAAAGAACGTTTCTGTCAGACTGCGCAGGACATCGATCTCGCTGCAGCTTTGGGCGTCGACCAGCACCTTGGTGTTGGAACCGACGGAGCCTGGAGTGGGGGGTTAGGGTTTAGGGTTTAGGGTTTGCGGTTTTAGGGTTTGCGGTTTAGGGTTTTAGGGTTTAGGGTTCAGGGTTTAGGGTTTAGGGTTCAGGAATTAGGTTTTAGGGTTAAGGATTAGGGTTCGCGGTTTAGGGTTTAGGGTTCAGGGTTCAGGGTTTAGGGTTTAGGGTTTGCCGTTCAGGGTTTTAGGGTTCGGGGATTAGGGTTTAGGGTTCAGGGATTAGGGTTTAGGGTTAAGGATTAGGGTTCGCGGTTTAGGGTTTAGGGTTCAGGGTTCAGGGTTTAGGGTTTAGGGTTTGCGGTTTAGGGTTTAGGGTTCAGGGTTTAGGGTTTACGGTTCAGGGTTCAGGGATTAGGGTCTAGGGTTTAGGTTTCAGGGTTGAGGGTTTAGGGTTTAGGGTTTAGGGCGTGTAGATTCAGATTTTGCT